CTTATTTTTAAAGTTTTTGCCTACTCCAGGGGGACCCGCAGATGGCATAATGGCTACATCATTGGATTCCCATGTAGTTAACTGTGGTTCAAGTCCCAGACCTGGTGGCTTAAACTCACACCAGACAAGTGGATGAAACTTGGGGAGCCAATCCACTTCATCTTATTTTTTAAAGGAATTTATTCTCTCACTCATTCATCAAGTTATACACTATTTTTCCTCCAGAAATATTTCAGATTGATTATTATGTATGTACCACATGGAAAGTGGTATAAATTTAAACTGGAGAAAAAGAATAAAGATACAGATAAGAGAAAAAGAAGATATATATATATATATCCTAGAGAGACTACAAATTTAGGTAGGGCTCTTTGAAAGCCTAAGAGGTAAGATATGTCAGTTACCCTATTCACAGGGATCATAATTTTAAAATAACCCCCTTGCCCTACACCTTTCTCAGAAATCAGATGAGCTAGGAATTTTTCTTAAAAGATGTGGTGACCAGCCTCCTCAAGAGCAAATAGCAAATAAAGCAGTGGCATGTTTCATAGGACTACTTTGCATAATAATCTTTGGTGTGATTATGCTCATTCTCAAGCATAATTCATTCAAAGCAATTCTGGAGGGACCACTTTTTCAAAGAATTAGATTTTTTTTTTTTTTAAAGATTGTGTTCGAGTAAAGGAGAATTCAGCAATTGTTCTTGAGATGATGAGGGCTGGGATATGCAAGGTTCAGGATACCGGTAATAATCTTAGCCGTTATACCAGTAATAATAACAGTAGACTTATACCCATGATGATCATTTATTGAGCATTGTACCAGGTACTAAGTGTTTATGTGTACAGATTATCTCACTGATTGCTCTGAAAAGTGCCATAAGATCATAGTACTATAACCATGACAATGAGATTTTCCTTTATGCAGTTTTGAAACTCAAAGGTATAAAGACTTTCTCTGTGCATAAAATTTGAAATAATATGATTCTCACTTTACGTACACCCCTGTGGGAAAATAGTTCCAAATTATGCAAATTGTGAGTTGTGACAAATTTTTAGGAACTTATCCCTAGTATAAAATGCTATAGTCCAATATTATCATATCACAGCTGTGGACACTTAGGTTTTATTAGATTGAAAAACATTCAGTTCATGAAAGGTGGAGCATTAATTTGAACTCAGCATTCTAGAGCTGGCTTCTTCAAGGCTAATGTATATTTGAGGAAACCATTGACTAACTCCTTTTTATAAACATGGAGAATTCTCACATTCACTACATGATGAATTATTTTTTGAAGTTTCTTTCTGTCTTTAATGAAAGATAGACCCTCAATATAACCTCTCTATACTGTGATTGTCCCAACCCTTCAGCCAGCCAGAATCACAGATGTACCCAGCATACACAGGTAGACCCAGGATCTGTATCCTGAGCCATTCCATATGACTCCAGTGTCTCACAGCAGTACTCTACTGCCTGTGATGATGGCTAGGCCATGATTTTTTCTTAAACTGGATCATTATTTAGCAAGTTGCATTCCGATATATATTTTACTTTCTGAAAAACACATCTTATGTATGGTGACAAATGGAACAGGTAATAACTACTGCATTCCCATAGAAACTTCTGTCTATAATAAAATTGTTCTCCCTTGCTTTTCAAAATTATTTTCAAAGAATGGAGCAGGTGCACACACTGAACCTGCTGAGCAGATAAGGGAGTTAGGCACATATCTGAGCACTGCAAATTATTTCTGCCCAGTGGTTTATGATGAAAACTCTGACCACCATCCCCCTTTACTGAAGCTCACTAAAGGGAAAGCAAGGTCCTTGCCATTCACTATAGGAAGGTGGAAGTTCTATTATCTGTTGAGGCTTTGGTTAAAGAAAAAAAATGTCTAAGAAGAGAAACTAAACTATTAAGGGTTTTAAATTTCATAGAAGAGACAATGGAGTAATTCATTGAACATTCTTAGCTTCTTAGGCTATTGTTTCTGCTTCATCAATCATCTTAAAGAATCAAAATTAGATCCAACTTAGGGAAGAAAGATCCCCAGTTTAGGTAATGGCTTAAAGCTGTGGGGTTTTACGGGACCAGCAGATGGTGTGGTAGATGGGGTGCTGGACATTCCCACATGACCGACCGTGGTTCGAGTCCCAGATCTGGTGGTTTACTTTGTTACTTTCCCTCTTTCTCTCTCTCTCTGTGTCTCTCCCTGGACAAATTAAACTAAAGTGAATGAATAAATAAAATAAAATAAATAATTATTTTTTAAAAAGCTGTGAGATTTTTACTCTGCTGATCATGAGTGAAATATTTGAGCCCTCAACCATGTGATTTTTTAAAATTTGTTTATTTTATTTATATTTATTTATTTATTTTTAGCTATTTCATCAGAAATATCACCAAAGTCCTAGCAAAGTTCATTTTTTCCCTGACTGCACATTAGCTGAAACAGGATTTTTCTGTCCACCACATACAGACAGAGCCTAACAGAAGGGGATAGAAAATGTCATCTGGGTAGGAAGGCCTTTACTCTGTGCATTGATCTTTGTTCCTTTTGTATGCCTGTGTCACCAGCTCAGTCATTTTGATCCAATATAGTGCTGCTGCTAAGCCATTCTTGTTCTGGCAAGTTTGCTGCTTTCTAGCAAGAAAAGAAAAAAATTGAAGGTAATGGAAGAGATGAGAAATAATTATGCCCTTGACATTCTAGCTTTTGTCTGACTTTTCTTGGTAATTTATTTGGCTGAGCATTTCATGGCTGATCAACAGTACAATTATGTCTTAGCTTCTTCTCATCCATCTTCAGGAATATCTCAAGGAAAGCCTTAGTTTTTCCTTTGGTCTATAAGTGATGTTGCTTTGCTGAGTATTGTAGCCTTGTAAGGCAATGACTTGAGAAGTAAGGACGTTTTGAAGATTGAATTGAAAAAGATAGGGGAATTGATTAATTGGTCCAGGAGTATCTTCATGACCAAAATAAATGTTATGGTCATATTAAAGCAACAAGATTGCACCTAGTTTTTCTCTCCTTTTGGCTCCTCACCCAGTAAACTTCTTTAATAAATGATTGATCTCTACTTTACAATTCTTTTCATGCCTTTGACATATCCTAAGTCCAGTTGCTAAATTTTATGATTCAAGATGCAGGAGAGAAACAAATTCACTCTTTAAAACCAATTTTTTATCCAGAGTCTCAGGTATGCACATGTACAGCATTTTGAGTTTCTTCTTATAAATATACATCAGGGAAGAATGGCAAAGACCACATTTTGTGAAAAGTGAGACAATTTAGTTCTTAGTTTGTGGGAGTTTTGTACATATTAGACTGGTTCAAATCCTCATCTTACACTTAATATCCAATGTCAAACAAGCTACTTTGACAGCCATCTGCAAAATGTTTCTCAACATTGTCATCACTTGTGTTATGACACCTGGCATGTAATTGCTGCTAAATAAATGGCAATTGTTCTTATAACTAGTATCACTTTTTTATAAAGTATGATTGGCTAAAGATACAGAGAAAATTCTGAAGTGTCTTTAGCTGCCACTCATCTTGGTTATCCCACAGACCTCCTCTGTCTGGAATATGGAAACCCTAGAATTGACTGCTTGCTTCTCATTGTCCCCCAAGAGAAGGCATAGAAATGGAAATCTGTCCTTCTGGTTTGCCTGGAGCTTTCTTGCTCCCTGAAAATTTTTTGACCAATTAAAGATCTTGGTGTCTAATAGTGCATGCAGGAGAACCCTGAGTAACCATGACATTTCTCTGGAATTCTCTAATTATTAGATTCAACCCTTCTCAGGATTATAGAATCTTCTTTCTGCAAGTTAGTTCCTCTGGGGAAAGAATAGTGGTTGAGCTGCTGTTGTCTGTTGGCTGTCTTTAAACTGGGAGACAATGGATTGGATCCTCAGCCTCAAAATCCTTAGAAGTGTTCATGTTCCCAAAACCTAATGATGAACATTGGCTATTACAATAAATCCTCTCCTATATGAGCATGTCTGGCTACATTTGTGCCATTTGTGTAATCTGTCTCACGGAGAAGAAGCTTTGAAATAGGAGGAGATAAGAGACTAGTGTGTAGCATTTTCTGATAAGCCATATGACCTTAGGTAGACCTTTGCTCTCATAGAAACTCAATTTTTGTATCTCAAAGGCAGAGGTGATAGGGCCAACCTGGTAGCACAGGTTAAGCTCTGAACATAGACAGCTAGGTGTGGCCAACTGAGATTGCAATCCTGTCTTCTGCAGCCCAAAAAACATGCTCTGCTACAAATCCTGAAAGAATAGAGAAATGGAGAAGGGATTGTGGTGTGGCCCATGTTCCACTGAGGGGTGCTTTGTCATTCTCTTTCTTTCTCTCTCTGTCTCTAGTGAGGACATGCACCCTCTGGCAATTAATAGAAAGTGGATGGGGACAGCCAGTGGTGTTGAGGTTAAGGGGACTGACCTCATGTGGCTAATCACATAGTTCAAGTCCCAGACCTGGCTGCTTGAGAAAAGCAATGAGGCATGTATGCATGCATGCCCCAAATCCCGAAAGGCGAGAAAGATGAAAAAGAAGGGATTGCAGCATGATCATCCCCCCATGGTGAGGGAGGGGGGTTGTACGTTCTTACTTTATCTCTGTCTCTGGTGAATGTATGCATCCTCTTCGCACTTTTTTTTTCTTTAAAGTGCAGGTTATAATGTTAACCTCTTGCTGTGTCTGCTCAAGACGAGATAGTCAAAATGCTTTAGTCTCCTTAGAAACATTATGGTTCTAGTCATTTGTTTCTTTCTTGATAGCTTTTCAGATTCAAATGAACTGTCCATGACTTTTTTGTTTGGATGTTTCAAATGCCTTTCTGATTGTCAATACATGCATGTTGAGCTGAGTTGCATTGAAATGAAATCATGATTCATCAGGACTCATCGTTTTCCAATGCATTTATTTTGATTTACTTCAACCACTCCTTGAAAGTCATTTTTTAACTCATGACTTTCCTCCTTTTAGGATTCTTTCTCCATGAAATGCTGGAGCAACTCTTCCTGTGACATGATAAAAGATCGTGCTCATTGCAGTGGTATTTTCTATTCATTTCTTTTTTTTTAAATTTCGTTTCTTTAAATACAAATTAATTGTTAGCTCTCAGAGAGTATCTTATAGATACCATTAGGTGGTCCTGGCTATGGTAGTGGAAGCCTAAAACTTGCTTTACAAAAAACAATGTCTTTGGGTCTCTATTAAATGGTACTTTATTTCCTTGTTTCCTACCTCAGCATAAGATAAAGTAATGAAAATTTGTATTTTAATGCTGTTTATTTTATCTGCTGTAGCCAGATAAAAGATACTCAGTGACAATTCATTTGAAAACTCACAATTTTTAGAATCAAGCAAGACTGGTGTGCAATCCTAGCTCTGCCATTTTGTTCCTTTGGAAAACTAACAAAGACTCAGCCTCTCAGGAATTAATAATTCCTTTTCCTAAGAGCCTTTTTCAAAGGTAAATAAGGCACCAGACACAAAATGTATAGCACCTTGTAAGTGATCAACTGATAAAAGTTTCTTAAGAAAAGTTTCTTAGGAAAAGTTCAAGTTATTTGACTGAATTGATATTTGTAGCTTTTGAGAGATTGGTTAAGACATAAAGATTAAATTATTGCATTTTTTAGGGTCAGAATTTCTTCAGCTTCTAATTTTAATTTAGGAAGAATTTGTTTTACTTCTAAAGAAAAGCTCTTCAGAAAGCTTTTAGCAATGATTAAAAACTTTGTATCTAGTTTCTCTTAAAATATACATGTGTTTAAAATTTGTAAAGGAGCGGAGAATATTTAGCAATATTGTGTTTAGAGATTTGATCGAAACCCCAAATATTTTGAAACCTAATGCAACCCATACCTAGATTTGCTGATTTATTTTTAGCTCTTAGAAAGTCCAGTTATTTAATCTCTTCATCAAACTGCTTGAAGTTTTCATTTCTAAATAAATTAAATGATAACAAATAATGAGCCAAAAATTAAAATGTATCCATTTAAGGGGAAAAACAAAAATCTGATGGAAAATGAACGTGAGTTTGAATAAAATGGAAATATCACTTGTCTCCCTTGATTTTCAGCTCCAAGTAAATTAAGTACTGAAGTAAGAGCCAATAAAAGTGCCGTTGGTCAAGTTCTTCAGCTTTGGATTCTTCACCTATGACAAGCAGACTACGTTCATTTAGTGATTAAAGGAGGTCTGAGGAATTTGACATCAGTTGGCCTGACCATCTGCCTCTATCAGCATAGACTCTCCTACAGAGAACTATCCTATCTGATTTCATCCTGCCCTTCTTTTCCTTACATGGTTTGAGAAAATGTCATGACTTATGTGTGGAATAATTGTAGCTGGTTGAATTAGCCAGGAGTTGACCATGAAAAGCCAAGTGTGTATCAGAGCATGCGTTAGGTCAAACATGATCTCCTCCCTGAAGCTAACTGCAGATTTACAGGCTTAGACGCAACATATTAATGAGTGTGCAGCAAAGCAAATCATAGAATTTAAGTAATGATTATTAAAGGATGATGGAGAAGACAGTGCAGTGGGGAAAGCATAGACTAGCCATCATAAAAATTTGTTTTTAATTAACCCTATAGCTTTGCATAAATTACCTTCCTTTTTGTTCCTTAGTCATACCACAAATGATCAAATATAAGAAAGACCAGACAACCTCTCCAATTTTTCTAAATAATTTCTATCAGCCATCTACCTACCTATCTATCAATCAAATATATATATATGCGTGTGTGTGTGTGTGTGTATGTGTGTGTGTATTTTTCCTTGATGGAAAGAATTCTATAGGAACCTAGAACAGTTGGTGAAGGTGAGAAGGTGAGATTAAGACTCTTCAAAAGATGGACTGACAAGAAAGGAAAATTGTGCAGCTGTTTCATCTTGCTAAGATAGAAAACGAGTCTTTTAAGCTTGTCAGTTTTGATCCTAGCCACAGCAATCATTGCCCTTGTAGATATGGTACAAGTGAAGTGAAAGCAAAGTTACACCCCACTAAAAGGCATATAGTACATTCTATTCCACTTCATTCGAAATAACTAAATTTACTGGCTAATCCATGTGCTTAGCAAAATGCACGACTCTAGATAGAGATGTATTATTATATAAAATATTTGTCCCTCAAGAGTCTTAATCTTTCTGAGGCACAACAGGAATTTATTAATAAAAGTTATATATTAACTTTCTATTTAAGTATAATAAATGTATCAAAAAGAACATAAATTATAAGTGTGTATACAAAGCTATTTGAAAAATCTGTGGAAAAATCAAAGTATGAACTTATTTTGATAAAAAATATTAAAAGAAAACCTGAACTCCATGTATAGTTTTTGTCATAAAATGTGTGTTCCATGGACTTTTTGAAGACACCTCTTACATGAATTTTCATAAAGTGAGCACATCAAGAAACCAGTACCTATACAAAAAATAGAATATCACTAACCTAAAATTTCTCCCTGGGCTCCACAAAGTCACTAACCTCAACCCACTATCCTGGCTTCAAACATCAGACATTAACTTTATCTGTTACAGAAGTCACATAAACAGAATCATACAATTTATGCTCCCCGTATCTACCATATTCCTCTCATTGTCATGTGTATAAAATTCATTCATGTTGGACGTAGTAACAGTTTGTTCTGTATACATATATATCTTGAAGTGGAATTGATGGGTCAGAGGATTCATCCTTAGTGACTATTGACCACCAATCAGTTTTCCAAAGACAAATGTTCGCACATATTTGGAGCAACTAGAAATTCATTTTTGCTGATGGCAAGTAAATTAGTTGCTATACATGTGTGTGTGTGTAAATATATATAATCATCACTTATGTTATTCATTTTAACCAACCAAGTATGTGTAGAGTAATATTGCATTGTGATGTTAATTTCCCTTCTCTTACAACTAAAGTTGAGCATTTTTTCCTGTTTATTGACCTTTTGGATTTCTCTTTTCTGAAGTGTCTATCTGAATATTTTTTCCATTTCTTCGCATTAACTTAGTTTTATTTTCTTTATTGGTTTGTAAGAATTCTTAACATATTTTCTTTTGTTGGAAAAATCCATTGCTAATAACTTCTCTCTGTCACTTGCCTTTTTATAATTTTTATGATGTCTTTTAATGAAAAGAAGTTTTTTATTTTAATGTAATCAAATTAATGTTTATTCCTTTATGAGTAGTACTGATTATATCTAGTTTAAAAATTCTTTGCCTAACCCAATATTGTGTTGGAATTCTTTCATGGTATTTAGGCCTTTTTTTTCAGACTTTTAATCTACCTGAGTTGATTTTTGTATATAAATATATAGGAACAGATTCATTTTTTCCCTATGTATATCTAATTGACCCTTTCATTGAAAAGAAATCATCCTTCCCCCCCCACAACACTGAAATGTCATTTTTGTCACAAATTGAACGATTGGATGTGTGTTGGTCAACATATATGCAGATATGTGATGTGCCTAGAGTCTTATTCTGGGCTATTAGTTTATTGTCTCTCTGTGTCATCTGTACACTATATCAATAAGTTTAGCTTGGGACCAGCAGTTAGCGTAATGGCTATGTCACTGGACTCCCACGTAGTTGACCGCGGTTCGAGTCCTGGACCCAGTGGTTTAAACTCACGCCGGGCACGTGTGTGTGCGTGTCCAAGATCCCGAGAGGAGAATGGAGGAGAAGGGATTGCGACATGGCCATCCCCCCTGGGGGGTGATTTCTTACTTTCTGTCTCTATGTCTCTCTCTGTCTGGCGAGCGCACGTGCCCTATAGCAAAAACCTCTTCAAAAAAAAAAAATAAGTATTGCTTTATAATAAACTTGATTTCTGATAACATAAGTCCTATAGCTTTGTTACTCATTATGACTTTTTTGAATCTCTCCCCATAAATTCTAGACTCAGCTCAATAATTCCATTTAAGCAAACAGAAATCCCGGGGTTTGGTTGGAATTGCACTGACTACATTGATAAGCTTGAGGGAAATTCATAATCAATAGTAAATCTTCTAATTTATAAACATGATATATATCTCCATTTAGTTAGGTCTTCCTTAATGCTCTCGCCATTTATAAAGTTTTTAATATAGGAGTCTGACATCTTTCATTAACTAGATTCCTATTTGTTTTTAATATTATTATAAATAATATCTCATTTTATTTTGGTTTGTTGTATTTAAAAGTTAAAATTATTTTTGTATTTATGATTTTGCTAAATTTAATTATTCTAAATTTTATATTAATTATATTGATTATTAAGCAGAAGAGATTTTTTTTTTTTTTTTTGGGGGGAGAGGTTTTCGCTATAGGGCGCGTGCGCTCGCCAGACAGACAGAGAGAGACATAGAGACAGAAAGTGAGAAATCACCCCCCAGGGGGGATGGTCACGCCGCAATCCCTTCTCCTCCATTCTCCTCTCGGGATCTTGGGCACGCACGCACACGCACCCGGCGTGAGTTTTAAGCCACCGGGTCCCGGACGCAAACCGCGGTCGACTACGTGGGAGTCCAGCGATATAGCCATTACACTAACTGCTGGTTCCCCTAAGCAGAAGTGATTTATGTTACTCTGGAATTCTTTGCTTTATTTATTTATTTATTTATTTATTTATTTTTTTGGAGAGATTTTTCGCTATAGGGCGCGCGCCCTCGCCAGCCAGACAGAGAGAGACATAGAGACAAAAAGCGAGAAATCACCCCCAGGGGGGATGGTCACGCCACAATCCCTTCTCCTCCATTTTCCTCTCGGGATCTTGGGCACGCACGCACACGCGCCCGGCGTGAGTTTTAAGCCACCGGGTCCGGGACACGAACCACGGTCGACTACGTGGGAGTCCAGTGACATAGCCATTACGCTAACTGCTGGTTCCCGTGCTTTTGCTTTTTTTGCCCCAGAGAGCTTGCACTCATAAAGTGGGTATGTGGAGAAAAGAAAGAATATGCTCTCCAGCAAAGCATGGTAAATCTCAATTTCTTCCATATCCTTCCCATCAGGATTTTGGGCATGTATGCACTTGCACCTGGCATGTTTTAAGCCTCCAGGGCCAAGATTCAAACTATGTGAGATTGAGCTCCCAGTGCACAGGGTTTAAACCTGTGCTATGGGGCCAGGCTTAGGAATTTTTATGGAAGCAATACAATGTTATGATCTTTGAAAGCGAGTGCTTCAGTGGCAGAACTGGGGTTAATCTTTTTCTTATGCCATGTCTGAGTGAGGCAAATCACGTAATTTTCTCATCTAAAAGCAGCAATAACCAGGGTACCTCCTGAATAGGTTGCTACTGGAATACAGTAAAATAATTGATGGTAAATGTTCAGCACAGGGTCTGGCAGGTTGGGCTTTTGACACAATTTATGTAAGCTGTAAAGTATGAACCATCATTTAACACCTAACAGTTTTATGTCCTTTTACTCCTTATTGGTCATATTGCTTTCTCTAAAATATTTCTAATGTTATAAAATCAATCAAGAAGTATTATAAAAAGCTCTCAGGTCTAAGTCATGAAAAGTCTGCACAAGTTCTGAGAGCGGAGTAAAGCTACCTGCGCAGCCCTATCACTGTCTCAGCTGCTCTACCTTCAAGTCTGTGGAGGAGAGAGCAAGGTTTTGTAATTCAACTCTCTTATCTCCATAGGTATCAGCGAGTCCTTGTTTTGCCATGATCCTATTTTCTTTAGTGCCAGCTAAGACTTTTTGGCTTTTATTATCTATTTATATGGTAACTGTAAGAATTCCTATCAAGAAAGGATCCCACCTATTCCTTAGGTTTCACTTTACCTAACTTTTCCTACCATTGAGAGCCTTCGAGCTTTACTCAACAGTGCGCAATACAAATGCATAAGATGAATAAGTAAAGTAGATCTAGAGTTTAGCATATTCAGGTTACATTGTTCCTAACTGCTACTAATTCCAAACTCATCATAAATTCAGATTTAATATGGGTATGAAGGAAAGAGCACTGTGTATATTGTGTGTGTATGTGGTTTTTTGCTATTTTTAATCAAAAATACAAATCCGAGGGAAACACTCATGGCTTAGATTACGATATTCTAGAGCTAATGAATTGTAGACCATGAACGCCCCATTTTATTTATGCTTTCAGAGAGAGAAAGTTATTTCTCTGAAAACAACTTTTTTTTTTTTTTCTTTTTCAGAGAAATAAACTTTCAAGACGAACTGGGGAAATTTTGGACAAAATGTTAGCACCATGCTAAGATTCCACATGAGTTTAAAAATGAACTGTGCTTTGGAAGCATTATTTCTTTTGTGTGTAAGGAAGTCATTAAAGTGTGCCGTAGAACGGGGGTCTGATACAGAACATTTCCAGCAGGAGGGAACATTACAGCTCAAATTGAGGCTATAACCCTTTCAAGAATCTTTGCCCACTAAACGGGACTGGGATGAGAGTAGTGTCTTACTTTTTAAATACACATAAAAAAGGAAGGTTTGGGGATAAGAGGATTTGAATTGTACTTGTTTCGCTTTCTGTCCTTAAAAAAAAATCACAACGGCTTGTTCTTGGTTGTTTTCATGTCTTACAAGACATGTATAATCACCATCTTATTGCATCTTATGTGATATGAAAATTGGTTTCTCTCCTGTTTCATGTTTGGGCTAGAGATGTAAATGTAGTAAATTATTCTAAAACTTTTTTTTCTTTTGTGTGAAGAGTAAATTATACTCCTGACGAATG